GTCGAAAATAGCGTTAACCACGGGGCCGTGGCCCTCGGGCCCTCCCCCGTCCCCTACCCCCCACCCAGGGGGTGGGGGAGGTTCCCCCTGTCAGATGCTGGCTTCTCGCATTTCAGGTCTCAATTCAGATGTCGCCCTCCTGATGCCCAGGACAGAGCAGCAGCCTCTGCCCTCTCCCTGGCCCAGCCCCCTGACGGGCACCCCCACCCTAGCCTACCCTGCGTGGACCCTGTGGCTGCAGCTCGGTGGTCACATCAGATGCCACCTCGTGGGACTGGTCCCTGCGGTGTCCTCCCGTCTTAGAACAGAAAGTGTCCAGCGGGGACATGCAGTCTTCACTCACCCGGTGACCAAGGGAGCATCTGGGGATCTTTCTGACTCGTGGGACCCAGAGTCCTAGGAGGACACCCTACTGTGCACGTCGTCCTGGAGGCTCCTTGGCGGTCAGGAACGAGGCGGGGCAGGATCTGTGCTGCCCTCCCTCCCCCCGGCTGGCAGTGGCCCCTCCTTCTCATCCCCTCTGCTCCCCACCTGGCCTTGGGAGGCCTCATTCCCTTGTTCCTCTTCAAGTCTCCGTCGAAGCAGCGCCCCCGACTGGGACAGCTCAGAGGGGTGCTCTTCTCCCTGGGCCATGGGATCTGTGCCAGCTGCCGGTGCCCCGTCACCTCCCCTCTGCCAAAGGAAGCCAAGGCCATCTGCAGCCGGAAACGCCGTCCAAGGGGGGCCTTCTCCACCGCGTTACTACCGCCTCCCCCAGAGCAGCAGGCGGCCGCGCCCAGAGGCTGCTCTCCAGAACCGCAGCATCTGCACCTTCCGTCAGTTAGAATAACCCCGCGCCCTTCACGCCGGCAGAGCTGAGAGCTGCAGTTGGTCTGGGGATCTCTGCTCCCCTCCGAGACCTGTTACTGATCACCCATGGCGGTGTGGGGCTGCCAGGTGGGCGTGGGACCTCGGACGCTGGAAGGGCGGCAGCCTCCTTCCCAGCCACGCGGGTCCTTGACGTGAAGAAGTAAACACACCTGTCCCGTCCCCCAGGCAGTCACGCCTGCGCCTGAAGCAGCCCACGTGGGCAGCACCGTCTGACCTTGCAGGAGTGGCGGTCATTATCACTCACCTAACGCGGCCGCCGTCCTCCCAAGGTGGGCAGGTGCTGTGGGCTGCGGTCTGCAAGCTTGCCGACCACACTGAGGTTTGTTTCTTGGGAGGTGCTGTTTCTGTCACACTGAGGTCGTCTTTTGGAAAAGCATATAAGAGCCATCTTGCTACTTTCTCAACACGCACACTCCATCACTCGGGCTCCACCTACAGACCTTCTGGTGTTTTCTCAAGGGAACACGGAAAGCCCCGTGGACCCTCTTGGGTAAAGCTCCCGAGTTGGCAGTGGGGTGGTTCAGGCACGGGCATCAGCACTCTGGCGCTCACGGAGGCAGGCGATGCGGGGAGGCAGGGCACAGGGGCTCTCCTCCCGTGGCCAGCTTTCGCCTGGGGGCCTCGTCACCAGGTGGACATCAGGAATTGCTTCTCAAGCAAACCTGCTCCATTCCAGTGTCCTGTAGCCAACCTGGGCGTCCGTGGTAACACAATGGGCTCCTGCCCACTCGCGGGGGCGGACCACGAGGAGGCGGTGATAGGCAGCGGGGCTCGAAGAATCGAGGTCTTGGCCAGATTTGTCCTTGCCGGGACTGGAACCCCAAGCAGCAGTAAGAAGAAGACTTGAGGCATTTGGAGCGCTGGGCGGGGGCCCGGCTCTGGACTCACATTCCGCCGTTGGGGGCTTCATGGTGGTCTGTCTGCACCCTCCGGGCTTGGGTGCCTACCTCCGCTGGAAGGCACTGGCCACTCCCCTGCAGACTGAGTGTCCTGGGGCCACAGACCCAAAGCACCACAGCCTGGGGGACGTCCCCAGCAGGTGTGCATGGTCTCAGCTCTGGAGGCCAGAGCCCGGGATCCGGGTGTCTGCCGGGCTGGCCTCCGGGCGCCGTGTGGGAGGGGCTGGCTCTGTCCTGGACCCTGGGGGTGGCCGGCAGCCTCTGGCTCGTAGAAGCATCACCTCACCCTCCATCTTCATCTGCACACAGAATTCTGCCTGCGAGTGTGTCTGTGTCCAAACTTCCCCTCCAGTCCCATTCGGAGGGACTGTGCGTTAGGAGGTCAACATAGGACTGCTAGTGGGCAAAGGTCAGCCCAGCCACCTGGGAGGAGGAAACTCCAAGGAAGGACGCGCTCCAGCCCCTGGGCGCTGACTGCAGCGCGGGGGCCGGCTGTGACCGCGGCGCAGGGGCCGGCTGGGTTTGTCACTCATAGATGCTGACGCACCATGAGACCCGATATTAGCTTCATAAACAACAGTTCTTTCTTGCAAAGTGTCCCCATGGGTCCCACTGACACTGCAAAGCGCTACTGCAGCCAGTCTGATGACGATGGTGCGAGAAACTCCAGATCCAGTGTTTACCGTTGGGCCGAAATACTGCTCCGACTCCTCAGGGGCAATTCAGCACTCCCGTGGGAAATATGTGACCTCATTTGCATTTTCTAATTGAATTGCTATCAGCTTTCCTGCAAGACTGAGCACAAAAAATGTTCCTCCAGATCCCAGCCCTGCTCGTACCATGCACAAAAAGACCGCCTTTAAATCGTTGCTGAGAGAGGAAAGGCAAAGAGAGAAGTTGCCAGGTTTTTATGGTTCACCTAACTGGGAAGCCGGCAGCTCCGCCAGCTCCACGGAGAGTCGCTGGAACACGGGACAAGGGCAGCTGCGCTTGGAGGGACCCTGACACGGGAGAGATGAAATTTACGGAACCGGGAAATGAGGGGGTCCCCCCGCGCCCGTCCTCCGGGGATTTGCTTCAAGGCTCCTTTCAGTAAGGGTTTCTCGGGACTCTGAAGGAGGCCCTTTGTGTTTTTAGAACCTTCTGCCAACAGAACTCCCGCTCACGTTGTTCCACTCTGAACTCCCCGCCTCTCCAAACCCAGCCAGGAAGCCTGCCACGTGCGTTAAAATTGTGACTTAGAAAGGACACGTGGAAAAGTGCTTCAAACACCAGTGAACAGATGCAGAATGATCAGAGAATGAACGCCTGCCCCCAGGCCCCCCCACATCCCGCAGGGTCCCCGCGCAGCCTCCTCAGAGGCCCCGTGTGCGGTGTGCACCCTGCCCCGCGCCTCCACGTCCGGACTTCGCGTTTGCGTCTTCCTGCCCGTGTGCCTGTCCTTCCCGCTCCTCGCACGTCTGCTCCCCCAGAGCGTCACTCCCCGTGCCTCCTGCATTGTCCCGTTCGTCCTGCTCAGATTCACAGTCCGCCTCGGGCTGATTTTGGGGTGTGACGCGGGGCAGGGGGTCATTTCAGTGTCCCCTGAAGGGTGCCCCACTGGCCCAGCATCTCTTATGGAAAGCGGTCCTCCCTCCACTGTCCTAAGCAGGGCTTGGCAAACCTTTTGTCAGAGGGTCAGATGGTTACATATTTTAGGCATCGCAGGCCAAGAAGCAAAGTCGAGGATATTAATAGAGGAACTTACACAACCACTTAAAATCACAGAAGCCATTCTTAGCGTGCAGGCTGCAGAGGCAGGTGGCAGGTCAGACGCGGCCTGCGGGCTGTCGCTGGCCGGCCTCTGCGGCCAGTACCACTCAGAGCGTCTGGGGTTGGCACCGGGTGCCTCTGACAAGGTTCGTCAGGTCGCATACGTGAAGTGGGCGGGTTTTGTTGTGTAAAAGTTAAACCTCCATGAAGGTGCTTTTATAAAACATGGAGTGTGTCTTCTGGGCTGCCCATTCTGCTCCTTTTGCTCTGCAAGCTGACGGCACCACTTTAATTGCTGTAATCCAGCGCTCCTCGATGGGGCAACTTTGCCCCCAGGGAACATTTGGCAGTGACAGGAGAGAGCGCTGGTTGCAGACGGGGGTGGGGTGCTGCTGGCTTCTGGCGGGTGGCGGCCAGCCATGCTGGTAAGCATCTCACACTGCACAGGACGCCCCGCATCAAGAACGATCGGGCCCCAGATGCCGACGGCGGTGAGGCTGGCGGACGCTGCTGTGGTTTACTCGTCTGTCTTGATGTCTGAGCATCAGGGCCTCCCGTCTTCGTGCTGTTCCGGGCGACTCTTGGCCCTTTGTACGTCTGTCTAAAAATTTAAAGTCAGACCTTAACCCTTCTACAAACAAGCAAAGGAAAAACACGCTGGGGTTTTTCTTGGGAAGGGGCTGAACGAATAGAAACATTTTGGTGGAACTGACATCATTGCAACGTTAAGTCTCCTAAGTTAGGAGCAGGGCACATCCATCTGTTTTGAAGGAAATTTTTTGTTTTGTTTTGTTTTTTGGGGGGGAGGGGAGGTAATTAGGTATATGTATGTATTTATTTATTTTTAATGGAGGTGCTGGGGATTGAACCCAGGACCTCGTGCATGCTGAGCATGCGCTCTGTCGCTGAGCTATACCCTCCTCCCCAAAAGAAATTCTTCTAATTGTTCTCAGTAATATACAGGGTCTTCTAAATGTTTTGTTAGGTCTATAACTAGTTATACGCTCATTTTAATGCTATTGTAATTGCAAGTTTTATTTTCTGTTTATTCCTGGTCCATAGAGGTGCTTTTGCATCCAACATCATTCATTAATTCCAGAAAGTCATCTACAGATTCAGATTTTCTGCATTCACAACCACATAAAGTACACATAACGCTAGTTCTGTGTACTCCAATTTCCTTCTCTTGCCTAACCTCACTGGCTTGAAGCTCTGGCATGTGACGTAAGAGTGTCCTTGCCCTATTTCTGACGTCAGGGAAGGTTTGAGGATGCCAACAGTAGATGGGACTTCGTGAGATTAAGAATGGTCTCCTCTTTTCCTGACTGGCTGAATGTTTTCATCCTGAGTGGAAGTTAAATTTAACGGGCGTTATTCAGATGATCATGTGATGTTTATCCTTCATTCTGCGTTCAGTTACTTGGATTAATTTTCAAGTGTTAAACCGAAGCCTGCATTCTCGGGGCAGACCAATGTGGCGGTAACTTACCCACGCAAACGCGGCTGGATTCGAGGGAGTTCGTGTCTTGCTTACTCCCCCCTTTTGTTTACGCGCGGACTGGCATGTAACGACCCTCTGTCTCTCACCGTGTGTTCAAGGTTCTTGCCGGCTTTGGGCGAAGTTCTTGCTGGTTTTCAACGGGCGCCCGTTTGGCTGGGGAAGCGACCCGCCTCGTAAGGTGAGCTTTAACCCCTTAGGGTTTGGGTGCGGCTTACCAGTGGGGCCACGATGATGTGGGCATGCCTTTGTGAGTTACAGTTTTGTTAGTCATAACAAAACAGCTCAGGTTTTCCTTTCGTGTTAGTCTTGGTAAACTGTGCATTTCTAAAATGTCATCTGTTTCACGTATATTTTCAAACATATTGGTATGAACGTTCCCTAATCCCGCAGGTGACCTTTCCGGTGCCCGTGCCGCCGGTCACCGCGTCCTCCTTCATTCCTGATGGGGATTAGTTGCGCTTTTACTTTTTAAACTCAGCCTCCAGGTTAGTGAAGAGCCCCCTTTTGTCTTGGCTGGTCCTGTCCCTTCCTGTTTCCCTGTTGTCTCCGCTTGGTTTTACTATTTCCTTCTATTTTGCTTGTGTTTCATTTCCTATTCCTTTTATAATTTCTTGAGATGAATGTTAAACTCGCCGATTTCCTGCCTCTGTCATCCCCTAGTAGATGTATTTAGGGCCAACCAGGCCCACCTGGCATGGCTTCAGGCGCAGCCCAGGAGGCTCATTGCTCGGTTCAAAGCCTTCTCTCGTTTCCACATGATTTCTTTTCTACCCAAGGGCTAGTAAGAAGGTGTTTACTTGACTTCAAGTCCATGGGGATTTTTCAGGTTTTATTTTTTGTTGTTGTTATTGGTTTTCTAGTTTAATTGATCTCGGGTAAGAACACAAACTATGTTTTGACTCTAAACTTTGGAAGCGTGTTGAAATTCACTTGACGACTCAGCCTGTGGCTCATTTTGTCAATGTTCTGAGTGTGCTTGAGAATAACCTGCATTTAGCAGCGGGTGGTTTCTGTGTTTCATATACGTCCTGCTAAGGTCACACTTCTTCCTCCCGAGCTCCTGGTGGTCCGTCCCCGGACCGACGCTTCGTCTGCTTGTTCTGTTATTTATGCAGAGATGTTAAATCAGATTTACCATGGATAGCATATTTGCTTATTTCTCCTGTTAGTTCTATCAATTTTTGCTTAAATATTTCAAAGTCATTTTACCAAGCGCACAGAGATTTGACTCTTATACTAACAGAAGCCCCACCAACTGTGTTTTGGTTGGTACTTGCTTGGTGTTCCCTCCACCATGTTCTGCTTTCACATCCTCTGTCCTCACACTTTTTAGATGTATCCTTTGTAAGCTGCAAAAGTGTAATCTTCCAATTTGTTCCCTTTTAATTACAAGAGTTAATCTATCTTCATTTATTACCATGAATAGTATGTTTGCAAATCTATCTTATTCAGAGAGAAATGTCTCACCCGCTCTGCCCTTCCATTTCTCTTTTCTTGCATTTTTTTGGATTGCTAAGTTTTATTATTCTACTTTTTCCATCTATTATGTTAGGACTTAATTGTATGACTTGTTTTGTTTAAGAAAGAATGTTTCTTTGCAAATTCACATCGATTGCCGAGGAAAGGGACAAATTATATTATTTCAGGCTCTTAAAAAATATTGCCTAAATATGAAGACAAGAAGAGGTGAAAATACTTGAGCCCGGAATATATGTAGAATGAGAGGGATTTAGCTGTCCTCTGCGCAGTGCTGTGTCACTGCTAAATTATCCAGCGAGAGCACAACGTCTTCATACGTAAGTGTTAGAATTATGTGAAAATGCCAGGAGAAATAAATATCTGTTATTACAATAGATCTATTTTTTAATCAGTTTAGTTCTAGTTTAGCCACTATGAGGTCTTAGGTAACCCCAGAAGCCAAGATGTACTTTTGACCTAGAATATCGTCTACCTTGGTCAATGTTCCATGTGCAGTTTAGAGTCAGGGATCTGCCACCGCGGGCCTCAGTGATTTGTCTTGTCCAAGGGTCACATTGGTCTGGCATTTCCATCCCTGTTAGGACAGCGCAAGCACCCTGGCTCTCTCTGGCTCCACTTATCCTTGCTCGGCGTCTGCGCCGCTCCCGTCACGACTGGGCCGTCTGCTTCACGGCGCCCGGACGCCACGCCGTGACTGCCCTGGCGCTCCCCCTGCTCCCTCATCTCCCCGTTCTGGGTCTTCCACATCTAGTCGTCTTGTTTCTGCTTGACGAACACAGCTTGTGACAGGTTTTTTCAGTGCCTGTTTGTTTAAAAATGTCTTTATTCACCTTTACTTCTTGAAGGGCAGTTTTACTGGACAACAGAATTCTGTTTTCTTTTAGCGCTTAAAAAATACCACCTCGTTGTCTTCTGAGCTCCACAGCTGCCGTCGAGAAGTCAGCTTCGCGTCCGATCGTTACTCTTTCAAGGAAACTCTGTCTTGTCAGTTCCTTCTAAGAGTATCTCCTTGGCTTTGGTTTTCAGTTATTTTACCATAAAATGCCTATTGTGAACTGCGTCCCCCCGGCCAAATTCATGTGCTGAAACCCCACCTCCCACTGTGACGGTATGAGGACGTGGGGCCTTAGGAGGTGGTCAGGTCCGGCGAGGTCCCGAGGGTGGAGCCCCTGTGTGGGACTGGTGTCTGTAAGGGTCGTGACAGAGCCGGCCTCCTGTCTGCACTCTCTGCCACATGAGGTTGCAAGAAGTCCGAAGGCGGCCGTCTGGAAGACGCCCCTCCTGGGAACTCGACCCTGTGCCACTCTGACCCAGACTTCCAGCCTCCAGAACAGTGAAAAATGCATCTGTTGTCTGTAAGCCCCCAGCATTTTGCTGTAACATATTAAACGGATTAAGACGGTGCCGGAGTGTAGTTTTTTTGTATTTATCCTGCTTAGCGTGCACGGAGCTTTTTTAATTTATGCCTGGATGTCTTTTGTCAGTTTTGGAATATTTTCTGCCATTGTCTTTTCAAATATTACTTTTGTTCCATGTCATCTCTCCCCCTCACATTCCTAACACATTCATGTTAGAACTTCTTATCATTTTCTCAGTGTCTCTTACTCTTTCCGCTTGTGTTTTCTGTCTGGCTCTCTTTACACTTTGGCCTGAGTATTTCTTCTGATGTTTTTTACTTTGTTAATTCTCTCTTCAGCTGTGTCTAATCTGCAGCTCTATCTATCCAATGAGCTCTTAATTTTTTGTTATTTTTTCAGTCCTAAATTGTCCAATTAATTCCTTTTTATACCTTCCAATCCTCTGTCAAAATCTTGCATTTAATGCGCTTGAACATAGTAAGCACAATAGTTGTAAAATCTGTGTCTGATAGCTCCATTACCTGAAGCCCTGTGGGTCTTAGATTGTCACCTGCTCTTTCTCTTGATTTTTATCTAACTTGTTTTGTCCCTCCAGCCATTTTTGGTTGAGTGCTAGACATTGTACCTAAAGGAGGTAGATATAACATGAGGCCGAGTATGCTACCTTCCACTGGAGAAGATTGACATTTGCTTCTGGCAGTGTGGCAGGTGACTAAGGACACCAGCTATCTGGCATCACCATAATCCATCTACACAGAGCGACGATATTCAAAGGCTGGCACTGGTCTCTGTAAGGGCATATCAACTAAGTGACCCAGTGTCCCACACAGACCTTCCTCCCTGTTCCCCAGGCACCACCCTGAGGCCGTGATGACCACAGGACTGAGAAGGCTGGGACCAAGCCAATGGCAGCAATGAGAGCTATGTGTTTTTTGCTTTTTCTGCTTGGCTCTCATAGAGCCTACAACCTGCCTGACCTCATGTAAACTCACATGAACCTCTCCACCACCTTGGGTGGGATGGAGGCAGTATCACAGTCCCATTTCCCAGAGCAGCAAACCTCAGAGAGGTTGTATGGTTTGTCCCAGAACATCAGCCAGGGAACTGGAGAAGCCTTGACCCGAACTGACAGCTCAGGGCAATCAGGCTGCGTTATGACGCTGGGCTTGGCCGTCCCTAGAAAGCCATTCCTCACTCCTTTCCGGAATATTGGCTCTCCCATGCAGCAGAGAGGCCACAAGTGGTCCCATGACTCCACATCCCCACCTGTACAATGGGGACAATGACAGCGCCCACTTCTGGAGATGCTGTGAGGATCGGTGCTGACACACTTGGGGTGGGGTCTAGATGGGGTCCAGGAGAGGCAGGTAGGGCTCTTTGGGTCTGAAGGAAGAGGAGCCGGGAGCCACAGCAACGACAGCAATGGAATAAGCAGGGAGGGGCGAGCTCAGCAGGCCGCAGGGACTGCCTGCCGCCTGCATGACCACATTTCATGTACTCAGGTGCAACCCCACAGGCACCCCAAGGATGCTCTGAGCCTGTTCTGCGGTTTGGGTGCTTCTTGGGCCTGCCTGCCATGGGCCCTCCTGGGGAACGTCTAACTGCAGTCACCTTGTTGGAGGGTCAGGGGATTAACTACATCAGAAACTGCTTCATTAACATGCCTGAGCAAAGGGGTCATTAGATTCTGAATTAGTGCCTTTTATCTGAGGCCCACGGTGGGCCCTCGGGAGCCCCGCCCTTTGCCCACAAGGTGCAGCTGCTGCCTCTAGTCAGGGATGCGAGCCTTCCCACTGCAGGGAGGGGCCCCCACGTGGGCCACGTGCCTTCTCACCAGGGCGTGGCTTGTGATAATCCCTCAGGATGGAGGGGAAAACCACGTCCGTCTGCCTCAGGGTTTCAACACCCCCAAGGCGAGGCTCACGCTATAGAGGCGCGCTCCAACCCCTGGTTGGGCGCACCCACGAGGCTGCTCAAAACCTCCTTCCCGCCGGGGGCAGCTCACCACCCGATTGAAGCCTGTCCACCACGGCACCACTTCCTCTTTCCAAACGAAACCTCCTCCACCTCCTTGTTTAACAACAAGACAAGACAAAACACTGTTTCCCCAAAGTGGGTTCCTTGGAGCACCTGCCTTGCAAGATGTCTCATGAATTGGGTTCCTTGGTCAAACAGGTTTGGGGAAACTTGCGGACTGTCTCCCACTAACCACACGTTAGTCCTGCAAGGTTTGGGCAAATCTCTAGAAAGGGATCTGGTCCACTTGGTGTAACCTTCACTCCTCAGGGCCCCTTCGCGAGGGAGTCCCTGGGAGCACTGTCCCTCGCGGCCTGCCCTGCTTTGGCTGGTGACCCACACACACGACGTGACACCACGACCCCAAGGCCTTAGGCTGACCGTAAGGCTTTCCGCACACAGTCTCCCTCCCCACGGGCCCACCCTTCTCACAGACGGACGTCTGCAGCTGGACCCGTCATGCAGGCTGGCTGGGCTGCAAGTTCTCTGCTGATCTGGGAGCCCCCATGCCTGAGGCCAGCGCAGCTGCCGAAACACAGGGTGGGTGAAAGGTGGACAGAGCTAGTCTCTCTCTGACACGGGGACCTAATGTGAGGGTCCTGGGGCTGACAGGTCTGGCCCCAGTACATGCAGGGGTGAGAGGACTGTAAGGGCCTGGGAGGGTGAATTCACCCCTCCCGTCCATGCAGCTGAGTTAGAAACGAAGTGGGATCGGGGAGGGGAGGCTGGATGGCACCGGCCGGGGTGTGTCTATGTGAAGCGCTCTCTCCTGCCCCCTCCCGTCTCTCTCTGGACCAGTCCTGCACCAGCCACTCCTTGCAGGGCCAGCCCTTGGCCTCGGTTGCACTTCTCACCCCTCCAGGCATTGGGAGCCCCGGGGCTGATGGGCTACAGCCTCAGCAGGGGTGCCCAGTGAGAGATGGAACGGTGGGGCCCTCGTTCAAGAGTATTAAGATGGTCAAGGTGGTGACAGCTGTGC